ATGCAATTTGTGTGATTGTTGTGGATCGTGCAGTTTATGCAAATGCAGAATATTTGATTTCAGCTTACTGTTTATTTTTTGCAGTCCTTTTCATAAATTTTTCTCAAGCGATACATTAAAGTCGTTTTCATGTTGGCGCATATAAGCTTCCTGAAATTCAAATTTCGTGAATATCATTTCCAAATATTTTGGAACTATTTTTGAAATTGTAGCTTAGAAAATAAAAGATTTTTCGCTTTTTAAGCTGTAATTTCGGACATAAAGAACAGTTTCAAAAAGAACATCTTTCATATTATCGAATTCCTGTTCTAGTTTCTCGGACCAAACTGTTAAACACGCTAATGCGTTCAGAAAAATGAGCAATTGGAGATATGCGTAGAGTGATGGTGTTGTGTATGGATGATATCCATTACCAGCATCAACACCCTAAAAAATTTTCATTTTATTGGATAGAGCACAATACAAGTTAGAATAAAATTATGGAATACAAATGTTAGGAAGTAACGCCAATAATAGGAACTATTTAAAAATGATTTTTGTCGAAAAAAAAAAAACAAAGATAGCGTGGAGGATACTTTATACATCATAAATTATGATATTTTTAAGTATTGTTATTTCGCTTGGATGATACTTTATACATCACAAATTATGATATTTTTAAGTATTGTTATTTCTTCTACATATGGTAAAGTAACCTGATGACTTTTAAGTTTGGTGGATCCAAAACGTGTTGCAGCAAAGGCTTGAGCAGTATAAACTGCATCATCTCGTTGGAGTTCAAAATATGGTCGTCCGCACTGAACGATTTTCAATGATGAAGTGAAAGAAATGAAACGAAGGAAAAATTTGAGAATTTTTTCAACCAGAACGTAAGTTTAATCTTTTCAATCTCGAAGCTTACCGGTTTATTTTTTCCACCCAAACAACGATATTCATATTCAATGCGTAGCAAAGGACGTCTTTTTGTTTGATAACTTTTCGAATTTGGTGACAAAGCGCAGCGATTATGGAAATGACGTCCACTTTTTGAAATATTAATTTCTCCGTATATCAAAGGGAAATAAAATTTTAAATTTCATGCCTGACTTTAGAGTATTATGAATTAATTATTTTCTTTTCCTTTGTCTCACTTATCTTGAGTTTTTAAAAAAAAAGCCTTTGATTCCGGATAGATTGCTTTTATTTGACCGGTATCTGCATTGACTGCATTAACGGAACCTTGTCGTATCTCAACAATCAAATTGTTAGGAAGAAGAGATTGCATTTCTGTCAAATCCATATAAGCTTCTTCAGCTGCCTGAAAGTTTTTTTTTTCGAATTTTTCTTTCTTTAATATTTTCTTAACATGATAATCAAATATATTCAGTTATCGTCAAAGTTAGATAATGAAAGTACTATGTGATTGATATTTTATATTTTATTTCTATTTTGTCTTATGTTTTATAAAATTTTATTTCTTATCCATAATAACTGAAATGCACTAAAGAGGAGAGAGGAAGTAAAACAAGTGAAAGATGACTTAGATTTTTTTGGTTTCTTAAATTCATTTAAAATTCGTTAATAGGAAGTTAAAGTGTAAATAAAATGAAGGGAAGAATTCAGTTTTTCTTAATGGACTTACATCTTGAATAAGAGGATCACTTTTTCCGGCAACATTAACGACTAAATGGCAAATTTTTGGTGGACAAGACTGATCTGTAAATCGTTCCAGCAATCGATTAGCCAAGATTTCAGCAAATGTATCAATGCGGCTGAGGAATCAATTATTAATTAAAGCATGTCATTTTACTAGAAACTTTTAACTTTGCCTTACTAATTTTAATTTATTCTATTTTTCTTTTCTTTCCTTTTTTTTGATTTTATTTTTTTCTATTTCAATATTTGAAAAAATTTTTCGTGAAAGTTTGATTAAAAGATTAAAAGCTGAATGTAACGATATAGCATGGCATCTTATAATCGAACAAAATAGTTGAAGTTTAATATTAAATTTTTCGAAGTAATATACCGACGAGGAATTGTTCCATACAAGAATGAAGCTAAGAAACCCACAGTTTGTTCAATTTCGACGAGCATTTCTAGAATTATGATGATCATTTATTTTGAGAGAAGTATAATTAAATCAAACAAATGGATGATAAGCTATCCGACGTATAAAGTAAAAATATTATTGGGTAAAATTGAATGAGGAAGAAATGACCTACCAGTTTATTGACCTTTATCTATATCTATATCACAAGTGTATTTGTGACACTGACCGCCCACTACAAAAGTTGGTATGAAAATTGCTTGGAATAGCATTGCTTCTTCAAACTCTTTGTAGAATATGCAAATTTTTTAACCTCAATAAATAGATAAACAAATTCCACGCCTACCATTTTTTGGAGTGTTTTTTGTGAGTTGAAAATGTTGCTTCGGAAGATGTTAGTGCCAATATTCATTTTATGATATTTAAACAAGGGTTTCGGTTGTTTTTGTTTGGTGATTAACTTTATTTTTTCTATATTTTGAACGTTTTTGAATCCTTTATGTCCTTTGATTTGGCTAGGCGAGGTATGGAGCCTTACTGAAATTTTATCGCGAGATTATTTAAGTTTCAGTGAGGCTGAGAACTTGTTTTTAATGAATTTTGGCATTTTAGGTGTAACTACGGCATTACCAATTAATGCTGAAATGTCGCGTTATCAGATTTTCTCCTTCTTGACCGGCAATTGTTTGGCTGAATTTAAAAATTGTCTAATTTATTCAAAAAATCTGATGAAATACTTTAGAAATTTGAAAACGCTCTTCGCCAGCAAATAGAATGATTCAAGGATTGTTTCGGTTTAACACACAATTCAGTAACTAAATTAAAATATTAAGCAGTTTCCTAAATTCATTCGAAGTTTTAAATTCCGAATTTTGACTGGGTATTATGCAAATTTTATCATTAATGAATCAATTTTAGCGGAGAACAATTCATAAGAAGCTAACCCTTTCGCTCATATTTTTGCAATATTTTTCGCAAAACTTTTTACACAACGATTTTATTAATTAACTTCCCAGTCAATATAGTGATAACTATTAATTGGTCATCGCTGTTACTTAAAGTATGTATTTTGCATAATTCGGATTCTCAATTTCTAGCATCTAAGAGTATTATTTTAAGCTTAATCTTGATAGAAAATCATTGGGTGACCTCCCAAGTTAATTTATAATTTCCGAGAAATAAAATTGAATGAGAGATTAAAATTTGAATTTAATGGGATCAAATTCTCAAATTAATACAATTGCGTGTAAAAATATTTTCGCCGTATTTTGTTCAAATAACAAATAAAATGACAAATATGTCAAAAACCAAAAAATAACAAATTAAAATGAAATCTTTATTTGATATTTTTGTGTAAATAAACAAAGCATTATCAAACTTTTTATTAGTTTTTGAGTTAAAATAACATTATCAAACAAATCTTTTGTTGCTAATCTTCAAAGAATTTCAATTAATATATAAACTTCCAAATAACAAATCGATCAATAGATTTCATTTTACAATTAATTTTCATCAATGAAAAAAACGTATGTAAATGCGTATTGGAGTGTAAAACTAAAATAACAGCTAATCAGTGTAAAGCTAACATATAATTTATCGATTTTTAAAGAGAGAAAAAAACTAAAAACAGTACACGTTAAGAATACAATTAGTGAAAATACAAAAAAACTGTCTTATCTACCTATTTATGTATTATACTTTATTCACTTCATATTCTCATTTTATTTCATTTCACCTTTTCCACTAAATCTTTTTAGTCTATGAATCATTTTTATATGAAAATTTAAAATATTTTTATCTACTATAGTAAGCAGATAATATGAAACGTTCGAAATTTTCGCTTATTACTCTAAAAAAATTCAGTAGTCGGATAAATTACCAAACTGTTTTTACAAAATTAATTTCCATGAATTGAAAAATCTCTTTAAATTGCTTGTCTGTTTGTTTGCTGCAAAGGAAATTGAAATTTCTTAATTTCTACAATTGCTAAAACTAATTGTAGAATTTCCAATCATTTTCATGATTGATGCTTGAAAAGGAAAAATTACTACAGCTGTACAGGAACGACGAAAAAAAACAGATATGTTTGAGCATAGATAAAATTAGGAAATTGTGCTCAAACAAAAATTTAAAAAATGCACATTTGAGCTCCGTCACGTTGCAAGGGAGTTTCTTTTTTAAAATTAACTTCTCATCTTCCAAAAAAACTAATTAAGGATTGAATTTATTTATTAGAACAATTGTTGCTAGAAAAAAAGATCTGAAAAAAAATCTCTCCCACTGAATGGAAAGAAGGAATGACGGTGAATTAAACTACCGGTACTGGAACTTAAATAAAGATAAAAACTAATGTGAAAACATACCCGCAATATAGGGGGCTCATTCTTAGTAATCTAAATACTAATTAACAATTTTACAATGATTACTTTCCACGGACAATAAGTAAACGGTCGCATTGGATACGTTGTCATGCTCTAATGGCAGCAGAAAAATCGAATTTAAGCAAATGTAATTTTCAGCACTTACTATCAAATTGATGGAAGTTACATCGCAAAAAATCAATATCATGAGCGCACCATAATTTCGAGTATTAATACCACAGGTCAAGATAAGTATATTCGACATAAGTGGAAATTTTAATAAAACTTTAAATACATAGATACAAATATTATCATTATTATTCATTGAATTTAAAAAGATCTCAGTAGCAAATAATAAGAAAAAAAACCTAAGCATTCAAAATTTCCAAATCTTTTTTTGTGAAATTACCCGTAAACAACAAAAACAGAAATTAAAAAAAATTGATTTCTGAATGAACGAAATCACTCAAAAAATGAAATTTTCGTCAAAAGCAAAAAAAAAAACTCAATAATAAATGCTAAAGATAAAAAGCTTCCTTTTTTTGGCAAGCATTTTATTTGGAGAATAGCGTTTCAAACTGGCCTTAAAAAAATGCTGAGAATATGAAAAGGAAGGAGAGGCAATGAATTTTAATGAAATTGGCCCGAAGGATGCGTAAATAAAAATTTTACCGTCATTTAACTACATGCTGCGGGTACACTTATTTTGACCAAAAGAACAGATCAAAGCTTTCAAATACATTTTGATTTGCAGGATTTTTGCATGATTTTTGGGAATTATTCTCCTGTAAAACTGATAAAATGAAAATATGATGGTGTGAAATTTGAGACAAACTTTAAGCCTGAGAGTCAACTGGTCAACGTACTACCTGTTGTTATCACATGAAAGCGAATTAAAACTGATGAAATGTGCAATGAAATCCATTGGTCATTTAAGGAAATAGGAAATCAATTAATTTTCACACATCTCGATTATCAGTTTGGAATATTTTCAATGCAATGTCAGTCTTTCATGTTTTGCTCCAATCCTTTTCTTTGAAATCTTTCAAGTAAATAAAAGAAATTTTAATTTGTGAAACTTACCAGTTTAAATTTTTTTTTAACATATAATAACGAACTAAAACAAGTAAATAAATATATGTCGTTTAGAGAAACAAATCATATCCTGTAGTGCTTCTGCAGAAGTAGATATCCCGTTTCTGACGAACTATTTTAGCTAAATCGGTTAATGTAGTAAAAGTGATCAGTTCGTAATTTTTTTGTCGTGGAAATAAAAGGAAGGAGTTGAGTGGGATGATGAATTGGTAGTTGTACTCATTGTGGCGCTCGGTGTTCCAATCGTGCTAGGCACAACAAAGAGATCAGGCTTACTGTTATGGCATACAACTCCGGGACCACCAAGCGGGGGTTGCCATAATTCGTAATCTAATTTTGTCAGCTCATCTTTGATCATCGATAACACAGTCGCTGATGTATCTGAAAAATAAGTGCAATTTAAAGAGATGAAAAAAGTTTAATACATAATCCCTAACCAATTAATTCAATAAGGACTCATAAGCTTGATCATACAACCAGATTTCGGTTTATAAACTTCATTATAAATCATAAAAGCGAAATGAAACATTGTAAAAATAAAGCAAGGAATAACTAAGAACATAATGATTAAGGGGAAAAGCGGAGAAGGCACTATTCTCAACACATTATTTTTCAAAACGTGATTTCGTGTATTATTTTCACCTGTAATAACCAAGCATTAAAATAGTTATTATCCTACTTCTTTCTCTTATTATATCGCTTGAAAAATTAATAGCATATATTCTTGTTTTAATACTTTATATCGTTTACGAAGAATTTATTTCTTATAAATGAAATGAAAACAACATATTTTTATGGTACCAGGTTTTAAGAAAGCAAAAACACTTCCACCACCACCAGCACCGGTCATTTTAGGATGTATTCCATATCGCGCAAGTAATGTACAAATTTGATCAATTTTTGGATGACCAACACCCAATGCGATCAATAACTGATTGTTTATTCGACATAAATCCTGAAATAATATGTGAAACTTAGAAAAGTTCTACTTCAAAAAATTCAATAATTTGAATAAGATTATGAAGAATCGACACATGTGTAGTTCAGAATTAAGAAGTTCTTTTTTGAGAAATCTTTTTTTGAGAATTTTAAAATGAAAATATTAATTTTTCTTTCATGTTCCATATTCTCGACAATGTATAAATTAATAGTAGAGAATTTGCGTGATTCAGAAGAAAAAGGGAAAAATCTTGAAAATAGTCACGGAATGTGTTTTCAACACGATTTCGACATGCACTCTTTTGAACAAGCTCAACACACAACCAAGTGTTAAAGTTAGAGAAGCACCAAAACAAAAACAAAATAGAACTAAACTTTGCACAACCTTACGAAATGATAGAAATGGACAAATGGATGATCGAGGAAAGGCTAAAGTTTCTTTAAATATATGACCCAAACTAAAACAGATAAGACGAAAGAGAAAAACTGAAAAGCAAGAAAAAAGAAATCAAAGACAGCACTGAACAACGAAATTTAAATTTTAAAAGATGATTCATTTTTCCGTACAGCTTACATTGAGCTTAGAAAAGGAATCGACAAGCTGTCCTCGTTCATGTTTCTCCGAATTAGCTCCCGAAGTACCACTAGTTGCGGAAGCGTTACTATTACGTTTACCACCAGCAGTATAAGGTAAATGTACTCCACTACTCGGCTGTTGCTGTTGCGGCTGTTGCTGGGAATGTCCACTGGACTGCAAAATTCACAGAAACACTGATTTAGTCTCAAAAAAAAAAAAAAAATTGTAAAAAATTAAACAAGGCAAAATTAAATTATGATATGAACATATCATCCATCTGATTATCAATGGGTTAGAACGAAGCATCCATAAATGAAATAATGAGAATTAGTAAATAACAACTTTCAAATTTTTTTTTTAAAATTATTTATGCTTCAAATTGATAAAACCAAAAAAACTTAATTCCGTGATTCCAAGTCCCATTTTAATTATTTTGTTAAACAACAAATAACACCTGTTGCTCCTATAACATATGAAAACACAATGATATCATGGAATTATATCAACTATTCAAATATGCATCATTTTTCGCTCAAAAACCAAACAAATCATCCTCAAAATCCATAATTCATCAAATACTCAGTAACTGATTAATAAAATAATATTAAATTACAATCTGTATTCAATCAATTCTGCGAAAGTTCAAGAGAGAAATTTTTTACAGTTTTGAGATCTAAACTTGGAAAATATGGACGCATGGTTATGGTTTCTAATTACAGTGAATTAGGCTAGATAACGGAGATGGCGAAAGATCAAAAATTCTAGCTGGAACTCACAAAAAATAAAAAAGCATAAAACATGCATGTTTTTATCCAAGTAAAAAAAATTAACCGTGCTAACAGCAAACATTTAAGTTCCTCATTCTTTCTTTAACTAAAATTCGAATTTTTTGACCTCTCATTTTGATTACCCTTTTATTTCAATACACCTGCCGAACCCAATATTTTACTAGAACTTACAGCAAGCAAAGCTTTCATTCACACTAACAGCCGTACTTGTAGTTTTGAACAAAAGGCCTGAAATTGAAAACCCTAATTCTAATGTATCCGAAAAGAAATACAGAAAGAGCAGAGATAACCAATAAAAACGTTGCATAACAATGACGTAAACTATTATTATTACCAAATCATTTTTTGATTAATTTATTTCACCAACAACAAAAGTAATTACTACACTGCGAAAGAGAGAGAGAGAGAGAGCCAAAATAAAGACATTCATCTAAACTGGAAACAAAATATTTGTTCATTTAGCTATTAAATTTCATATGAAATCAATCATCTTCATAAAGTCTGCCTTGAGAATTCATTTCTTTAAAGAAAAATGTGTACTTTCACTGAAAGATAACACATACAATAACTCATATTTTTCATTCGAATCAGTTCCAAAATAACTTTTATTACACATATGCAGAACCGATTTACTTCAAATTTATACTACAAA